AAATGTGAATCACATTTATCCAAAAGACTAAAAGTACATCATGAGCAGCTTATAAGAGTGCTGCTACTAAAGAAAAACAAATTACAAACTGAGAGTACCCTACTGACTTCTAGTTCTTCACAATGGCTTCAAGACCCCATTTCAGATTACAGAGAAAAAAAAAAAACAAAAGAACTTGGATATGATTTCTTTCATTCCTGTACACTGAACCAACCTTAGGAAACTAAAAATTCTCTCTTTGTAATCCAAAATTCTATTTGCATGAAAACTCAGGAACCCAGACACAATTTCTTGTATTCTGCTACAATTGATCATCAGAACACAAAGAATCATCAATCGATTACCAAAAAAACAACACCTAAAGAGAAAGACTAACCTGGACAGAGTCTGCACTTATGATTTCACCATAAAGACGCTTGGCAAGCTCCAAAGCAAGCCTGCTCTTACCAGCCCCTGTAGGCCCAGATATCACCATCACCTTCTTTTTCTTCTCTTTGTTGTTGCTGGTAGTTGAGACCATTCTTGTGGCCTTAGCAAAGGGTTGCCTCCGTCGAGAAAGCGACGGGAGGAGCCGCCTCTGTCCGAAGTGAACCCCACTTAGAATCATCTCTTACAGGAAGAATGGAATGCAATTGTTTACGTTTCTGAGAGCGAAGAGAAGAGAAGAGGATAAGGTTTTGTGAGGGTTCAAGGTAGGGATGGCAATTTGCCCGGATCCCGCGGGGTACCGTGGGATCTCGCCATGGGACGGGGCGGGAAGGAATATTTCTTTTCCCGGAGCGCGGGAAGGGATATTTTTTTTCACGGGGTGAGGACGGGAAGTATATGAAAATTCGTCGGAATTTTCTCCATTCTGTGGGTCCGTGGAGATCCCATCCTATGAAAAATTAAAAAAATATTTAAATTAATTTTATTTTAAATTTAATTCAACCTTTAAACTTAAATTCAATTCAATAAAATTTAAATTTAATCTAATTTTATTTAATTTATTATTAATTTTTTACTTATTTATGTTAAATTAATTTTTATTTATATTTAGATAATTTATATTTAAAAATTTTTAATTAATTATA